AACTTGCAGTATGATGCTTTGTCTGCTTCATGAAACTTTAATGACTATCAGGTTTATGGTACACACCGTACCAAATTCTGATCCCAAGAACACAGAAAGTGGGATTAAAAACAGAAAATTGCTGTGGAGTTAGGAGAACGGGAAACATTTTACAGCTGCTTTATCAATTTCATAGATGAAAAGGTCTCTATATTATGGCATTTCACTGTCTTTCCTATCAGTAGATATTTTTTCAATCAGTGTTTGGTGTGCTGTGCCATGTAACATCTTTAAGCTATGTAAGAGTACACTTGTGGCAATCTTCAAGCAGAGTAATTCACTACGTAAGTAGCGAATCACACTGTCATCATAAACTGCTTATACGTAACACAAGTCAGATAAACTTTATCAGAAAGGCTGGCTGAAACAATGCTCCGCCTTTTCACTGCACAGGCGTAGCTCATGCTTAGTTCAACACCTTCCTCCACCTACATACACAGACAGTGAAAACTCTCATGGAAACTACTTTCTAACCCACAGGGTTTGCCAGACGTAGGTCTCAGAGAAAATAAATGTCCACATGTCATCAGTTAAGTGTTGCTGCTGTTGTTGTTGAACTTGTTCCCTGATATTATTATTTGTCCGGTGCTGTTACCTTGAAATTAAAGCACATACTAAAACTAGAAATTTCCTATATATTAATTAGATCAACTTAATAATATGGTCCCAGATATTTGAACAAACCAAGAGTTATTTCTTGACACATATGCTGCAATATCATGTATTTATGTCAGCCCCAAACTCTTCAGGTTCACAGAACCACTTGTCATTACATGTCGAGGTAACACAAACAAGGGGCAAAGGAAGGCATATGCTTTTATAAATATAAAACAAAAAATAAAAGTGGGACTTTATATAGGAAACAGCACTTCAAGGTGTTTTCTGGTTCTACGTGATTTTTGTTTTTCATCAGTAGAACTACCCTGGATACACTTTCAAGAATGCAAGCCACCAAGAAATGATGCATTAGTGATAATGTAACACCAGGAACCCACAACTCTATACGTAGGGGGGTTCCTCTCCAGGACAGAAATTTCACTGTCGTGTGTTACACAGCCAGCTGCAAGGTAAGAGATGATCACAGTTGCCTTGCATGATTTTATGTGAAGATACCCTTATAAGATATTATTTATGTTATCTTATAAGATACTTTAGCTTATAAGATACTGTATCTTATAAAACACTATTATAAGATACATATTTATTTATGACTGTATGGTAATTTAAAGCTATGAGTTGACTTCCTAAATTTCATTCTCCTAAACTCTACTGGCAATATTTTATCTGTTTTTTGTGACCTTGTATTAGATATATTGGTAGCACTTACAAAATGCCTGACCATCAACAGCATATTACTTTGCAAATGTGGAAATTCTGTAATTTTTAAAACATTTTAAACTTTATTTCTGAATATTCTTTGGTTGGTAACTCCAAACTGCCATTCATTTTCAGCTCACAGACATGAACAGTACTAACCCATCTACATGCTGAATCCAATTTTGTATTTTAAAATTTCTTAACTGAATGTAAATAATGGAAACTTCTATTATTTCCATGGTAAATAAAGATCTTTGAGTATTCTTTAAAAAGCCTTGCAATTTTTACAATAGTTGAATCAGTGGATTGGTAAATCAGCTCTTTGTAGGTAACCAACTAAGAGCATATAACCTCTTCATTCAAATAAATATTTCCTAAAAAGTCAGTACTTTTATCCCTTACCTGCATTTTCTCCTTCTCACCTCTAGCACAAAGTTTTGTTTTTTTTTTTATATTCATTTTAGTACAGTTCCCTCCTCCCACCTCCCCCCCCCCAACCAAAAAAAAAAAAAAAAAAAAAAAAGATTTGCAGTTTTAGTTAATGTCTTAGGATTCTGCTTAGAGTAAAATATACTTATGGAATAAAAAGCATCTTTTTCTTTATATGTATAGGCACATATTGGAAGCCAGGAACCCAAACGACAAAATATCTACCAAACCATACATAGCTAAGAATTCATTGCCAGTGTTGTAAAATAATTTAATTCTAAATATAAGCTTTCATCTTAGTGATCCTCACACAGTTCTGGTCCACTGTTACACTGTACAGATACCGCCTAGTTCTATTCAAATGTATGGTTAAATCATACTTAGTATAGAAACTTTTAGATTTACCTGTACAGTTTCAAATTCAGAATGAGGATTTGAATTGTGCTCTGATTATATTTCAGAAAGAGTAGTGATAGAAAATGGAATTTTCTGGATAGCAAAATGGTCCATTCTACCTCAAAGAAAGCATTTAATTAATACTGTATTTTCCACGCACTAGGGGTGAGTAAAAAAAAATAGAAATAAAAATAAATAAATAAAGTGTATGAATGCTGGTTTCTGTGAAAAAAAAAAAAATATATATATATATATATATATGTTGGCTGCTAGATTTGAAACTGCCGACATACCTAAAATTACAGAAGTAATTAAAATAGAAAATAGGCATATTCCAACAAAGTCAGTACTGCTGTATTATGTCCCTTGTTATGTATGCACTTGAAAACTTTATAACATATGAGAGAGAAATCTAAATATAGAAAATCCAAGTAGTAGCAATACCTTCTATTTTCAGCCACGTTTTAATTTCTCATGGTGATCAGGACTTTATGGAAAGTATATGAAAAGTAGACTTATGATTATGAATTTGCACTCATTTGCATTAATAATATTGGGGAAAAAATGGAGTAGTATTCAAAATTTAAGAAGTAATGCATTCCCACTCAAAGAAATGATGGGCAAGGGGACACTTTACATAAGAAAAATTCTCAGTAAAATGTGTGAATCTTTAAACACTGCTTTCTCTGGTATCTACAAAAAATATTATTTTTCTTTTTACAAGAGAGTAGTTTGTCACCTTTATTTCTGACAAGTAATAAGTGAAAAAATACTTTAAGTTTAAATGAAACTGGATATCTATCCATTTCAAAGCTAATAATTTTATCCTCTGCTTCAGTTAAAATAAGGAAGTCCATCTTTTTAAAGAACTCTCTTTACACTTGCGCCTTCTATGTAAAATTAGGTAACTACATTTGTTCATGTTGCTCATGTCCATATTGGTCATTTCTGTCATTCTTCTCCATAAAACTTAAAAAGTACTAATCTGTAGTTTTTCTTGTCATAGTCCAGCTCTCTGGGGTAGTTGTCAATTCTTTAAATACTCTTCCTAAAGAAAAAAACTAAACACTTCTTCACCACACTCACAGTGTTTGGAATCATTTAAAAAATGGTAAGTATGAAGATGCTATGAAAAACACAAGTTTTTTGTTTGTGTAACTGTATTGACCTCTTATTTCTCTGTGTATTTCTAAATGAATCAGTAATATTCTGCTAATACAGCTTTTGCATAAATACCCAGTGAAAACAGCCTGAAAAAATCCCTAGTAACAGTTTATATGCCTGCTAATAAATGATAATTTAGCATTAAATAAAGTATATATGCTGAACAGTAATTGGATATGTTTTTGAGTAGGTTCACCTACTGCACAAATACAAGTTTAGGAAAAAGATGAACTTCAAAAGTTACAGAATCAAATTAAAATACAAAATTAAAAAATAAATACTACTGTTGAAAAGTGAATAAATAAACCTTCTCTTAAAATATGGCATTCATAAATTACACTACACTTTTTCTTAAAACTTCAGCTTCCTGACTTTTTAAGAGTATGTCTGATGTAGTACAACAACCAAAAGCAAAGAATGTGAAGCCAAACCAAGAGACAACAAAGTTAGTGAAACAAACATATGCCTTGTAACTTAAAAGCTAAGTGTTTTTCTGTATTGCAACCTAACAAATATGTTTTAATTGTTTTTTTTTTTTCATGAATACTATTAAATGTATTAGAGAAAATGTGGCACTAACAAAGCTAATTAGTTCATCTGGCACATCTAGTCTAGTGGTCTCAATTTGAAGATATATAGTCTGATAAAGCAAGCATACTTGAGCATACGCTTAAAATTGAAAGAAACAGCATACTGAAACAATTCTAACTAAAGTATTTTGCTGAGCTTTTAATTTTCCGTTATTCCCCTTTTCATCTGAAGAGCAATAAACTCTATAGCATTGAATAAACTATATATCACAACAAGAAAACATGATGCAATTTCTTCTTTTAAGTTTCTTCTACACAGTGCAACAATGGTTTTGTTAAGAGTATGGAACAGAAACTTTAATGTCCAAGTTCTGACAGATAAGAATTGTGAGAAAAGTAGACAAAGAATAAAATGTTTTTTCTTTTACTTGGATTTGTTTTACTGCTTCATCATCTGAAGTATATAAAGCAATCTGCTCCCGTATTTAAAATCTCAGTGGGTATATATGGACAAGGCATAATATAATTCCAAAAGAAAAAAAAATAAAAAAAGTATTTTTACTGATTTGTAATACCTGAAGTTTGGCTTTGTAACTCAATATCTATCTGGAAAAAAAAGTTAAACCCATTTGACTTGAAATAGTTCAGTGCAACCTGAATTAGTTCCATAAAGCTCAGGCAGCCAAATTCTGAATTTTGCAAGCAAGAAAAATTACATATAACTTCAAAAAAAAAAGAAAAAAAAAAAAGATTGAAGCCAAAATAAATTCCTATCTGCATATGATTAGGTCATATCCACAAAATTTTCATTTAAATAGTATTCACACTTTCTAAAACAAGTTCTGTATTTCCCAAGATCTTGATGAAACTTTGCTTACTGAGAAAGATTAAAAGATGAACAATAATAAATAGCAACCAGTGAAAGTACAACAAATAATACTAGTAAAGTTAATAATGAAATATTTTAGTTAGTATTCACCGTCATACTTAGAGTTGCCAAAAAAAAAAAAAAAGTATGACTACAGTGATCATGCTCACAGATCAGCAATAAGTAAAGGGTATGTTCTTTGCAGTGCCTAGGAAGATATATTTCAAATAATGAGGAACAATGGCATGATATAGTACCTTCCATTGCCCTTTTAAAGAAGACTTTACAACTTCCACAGGTAAGTACTCCATAGTGGCAACCAGAAGCCTCATCACCGCAGATGAGACAAATCTTCTGGGGTAGAGATTCAAAACTGTATTGAGAACTTTGGCTGGATTCTGTATCTGGCCTTCAAAAGAAAAAGAAGAGAAATGAAATATCCAGATTTTCAACGGTTAGCTACTTACCTGTATTAGTGAGCTTTATATTAACAGCCTCCTTTTTACATCTTAGGACAAGAAAAAAAAAAGGCAGGATTGCCTTTCAGCTTGAGGGTTTCTCTACACTAGGATAAAAGGCACATTAGCAACGTATGCCTGGTCATTAAAAAGGCAAGTAGTGATCAAAAAGCATAGTAGCATCTTAACCCATTTTAGATAAAAAGGGGACATTCTAGGAAACTCTTTATCAAAATGTTCATCTTCCTCTGATCAACAAGTCATGTGAGTAAAGTCATGCTGATTTATATATTTTCCTGAACACCGAATGGTACAGAGACAGAATAGAATCAAATAAAAGTCAATTGAATTTCAAAAGCCCCCCTTCACGTGGGAAATAACCAAGCTTTATCTCAGCTAGAAAAATCGTTAATAATTGGTTTGTTGCCTCCTGTTCAGTCGCAGCGTTCTGCTCAGTACCTAATTCTGATGAGCACATTGAGGTGATGAGTACTTCTGTATTTCTTACCAAGAAAAAATAAATAATAAATAAATAAATAAAAACAGGCTAATCTAGCTAATTATTATGTTTATAAAAATCCATATGTTTCTATGAAAACGATAGTTATTTTTGCAAATATTTCTAAGTAACACCTTGGCATCATAGTAAGCCGTGTTCATCGTAGTAAATTAATATAGATATTTAAAATGTTTCAGGGTTTTTTAGGTGTATTTAACTGCTTTTTCCTAAACCAGCAATAATGTTCTGAAGATTATTTAGGTATTTATAGATACTGACCACCTGTCAATTAAGAGAGGTGAACCTACTGCTCCTCCCTTCTGTGGAGCTGGTTACTATATTGCACAGTATGAAGCAATCATAACAAAAATGCCGCTTCTCTCGGAGAGTAACCGTGCCCAGATGAGCATCAGCTGCAAAATTAAAACCTTGGGTGCGTTCCCACCAGGACCGGGACACCCCAGCGCGCCCAGACAGCCCCAAATTAGACGTGCGGCCACGGCGGCCGTCTAAAATCTCCAGCGGGGCTCCGCTGAGTGCCGTTTTGTCCCCGTTCCTTCCCGGGCCGTCCCTTCGACCCCCTTCCGAGAGCGCCGTCGGGGGGCAGCGCCCCCCACCCCCTGCGGTGCCGCCGGCCTCCCGCCGCCGGCCGCCCTTACCGCACATAGCCGAGGTAGGGCGGGCAGAGCTGGGGCAAGCCCTCCTTCAGCACGGCCGCCGGGAAGCCCAGGGGTTGGTGCCCGTTGAGGCCCAGCGGCGGGTAGAGGCCCGGCGGCGCGGCGGAGGCCGAGGTGTAGGGGAGGCTGTCGGGCGGCACCGGCGGCCCGTAGGCTGCGGGCAGCAGGGAGGAGGCTTCGGTCTTGTAGAGGACGCACTCCAGCGAGGACTCCTGGGCGGCTCGGGGGGGCTGCAGGTAGTCGGCGGAGGCTGCCTTGCCTCCCAGGTACGGAGCGGGCAGCCCGACGGCCTCCTCCTTGATCTTCAGAGCGGGCTGGAGGTCGCCGTAGGCGAAGGGTCCCTCCTTGCCGTCGGCCGGCGGGTAGCCGTAATCCGCGAAATCCGGGGCGGGGGCGGAGGGCGAGGTGCGGGGCCCGAAGGCGCTGGCCTCGTACGCAGCCTCCACGTCCAGCAGCTGCCTGGTGCGGGAGGCCAGGTAGGCAGAGTTGAGCGGCAGGATGGGCACATGCAGGTAGTCCTGCCCCGGGCACGGTCCCGGTGCCGCTCCCGGTTCGTGCTCCGCCGCCGTCGGGGAGGCCGCCGGGGCCGAGGCCAGGCTCCCCCCGGAGCCTAAGCCCTGCTCCGGCCGGCGGCTGCCGGCGGGGAAGGGCCGCTCCTGGGGGGGCAGCGCCCCCAGCCCGGGGGCTTTGCCCCGGGGGGTCGCGGCGGGACCCTCGGTGCCCGGGGGCGGTTTAAGGGCGGCCGCCAGGGCGTCCCCCCCCGGCCAGAGCCGCGGAGGAGGCTGCGGGGGGCTGGCAGCCGGAGCCCCCGCAGCGCTTTCGGCCGATTTCGGCTCCGGGCCGCGGCTCATGGGGGCGCCGGGAGCCTCCGGGACCTCCGGCCCCAAGAAGGACCAGGCATGAGCCGCGGGGGTCAGGAAGGTGTCCAGGACGCTGTCCAGGGCGTCCTTATCAGGGAGGGAGCCGCTCCCCGGCCGGTACGAGAGGGAGTCCCGGTCCTCCTCCCCCGGCTGCCGTTGCTGCCGCCGCCGCTCTTCCTCCTCCTCTTCCTCCTCCTCCTCGTCGTCCTCCTCCTCCTCGTCGCTGCTCCTGGGGTAGAGCAGCCCGTCCAGGGCGATGTCGATGGCCTCCGCTTCTCCGCGGCCGGGGTGGCCCTGCAGCAGGACCGCCCCGTCTCGGGCGGACGAAGGCGCTCCGGGCTCCTTGGCCTTCACCTCGGTCATGCTGCCCGCCGCTCAGCCTCCGGCGCGGAGGCCCTCGGGGGGGAGGGAACGAGGGAGGCTCCCGGGGCGATGCAGCGGGGCCGGGCGGCTCCTCACATCCCGGACGGCGGCTGCCGCTCACATGGCGCTGCCTTCCGAGGGGGGGCAGCTCAGCCCCGGCCCCCCTCCATCACCAGCACCACCGCAAAGCCTTCCCGCCGTCGGGGACGGGGACGCCTTTGCCCTGCGGAGGGGAGAAGCCACTCAGCGCCAGTCTATGTGACACTCCCCTCACTGGACCCCCGCCTTGTTGCTCCCCCTGCCCTTACCGCCGGGGGGCTGCGGTGCCCGGGCCCGCCCCTCCCCGTGGCTGTCCCCCCCTCTCTTCTCCCCCGTTCTCCTCCTCTGTGGGGCTGCTCCGCGCTGCCTCCCCACGGGGGCTCGCCCGCCGCTGGTCCCCCCGCGGCTTTTCCCAGCCGCTCTGCCGGCGCCCTGGCCCCTCCTCTGCTCCGCCCGTCCTGTCCCTCCCATCGCCCGCCGGCCCCTCGCCCCTCTCCCCTCTCCTCGGGCCCGCTCCCTGGCTGCCCCCCACCCCTCCTCCCCGTCCCCACACTCGAAGGTGCCCCCTCCTCACGCTTCTCCGGTCCCCGGGCACAGGGCAGGCAGGTTGGGTGGTCGCTGTCTGGGGGCAGTGAGCAGGACAAGTTTTCCTTACTTGCCGTGTCCCCGGGATAGTCTTTCTGTTATCTTTCACCCTCCCTCTCATTGTCAATTTCAGAGGTAAGCTCTGCCCCAATTCCTCAAAGCCCCGCTGCTCACACCGGTACATCTTCCATGGTTCAGTAGTAAAGAAACCATGGCATTGTAAAGCACCTTATGTTACAGGACCTCCAGAGTACCCTCTACTATACACCAGAGAAAGCAAAAGGCTTTTAGAACAAAGTATTTGAAAAAATGGGGCATCTTTTGCTTCTAATACAATCCAGCCCAAATTACTTAAACCGAGGATCTGTCAGCAGCTACTAGCTGACTGGCTTTTTGTGTAAAATGCTGGGTCGGTGAAGGAACCTGCACAGCTTCATAAAGCTATTACTGATTCAAATACGTACACACCCACCCACATTGGTAAATTTTGCGTTATATAACAATCTCAGAAAAGAAAATTGTGTTAAAAGATACAGAGACTAAATTAGCCTAGGAGTAGTCTGTGGGACTTTGAGGAGAATCAGTATATTTCTGATTTGTAGAGAAATGTACACTGTTACATGCTTACTTGTGCTCTGATACTGGAACACACTTCTCTGAAAAGATCTTTTTCATAAACTCTTATCACTGTGTAATAGTTCCTTTTGTTGTTTTGCTTTCAAAATATTCCCAGACTAAACAGGACAGTTTATGGGGGAGGAAAAACACAACTTTTTGAAATTACTGCAGTGGTCAGAAAGCTAACATCAGAAATCATACAGGGCAAGTTTATAGAAGCAGTGGCTTCAAATAAACTTTATTCAGTGTGGTGTGTATGCTTTGGTTTATTCTTGGCAAAACATTACTGGGTGATAGACTACTTTGGAAATCTGCCTTTTGTTCCTTTAAGGAATAGTAATAAATTTGTCATTTTTCTTTTCCATTTTTAAAATATATATATATGTAAAAAAAAAAGAATTATTGTACTGTGATAATAGCTAACTTCTTAAAACTTGGATGTCACGTAGACACCTCTATGTATGTTCAGGAGGTTCAATAGTGTGATACATATCATACTTGCTCTGTGTAGGAATATTTCTCAAACAAGTATCTTATCCTGTTGATACTGTAAAGAACTGTGTGGCCAGCAAGTAGCAAGAACCAAAATGATGACCCTGAAAAGCCAATCAGCGGAATGCTCCCCGAAGACAATCTGGTTCTCTTATGGCATGACCCTACAACAAGCAATTAATTTGAAGTGCTTCTCTGGCTACCACATCACTGTTTTTATGCCTACAGTATTTCTCACTTCTTCCAAGCCTTCATTTTCTCAGAAGAGGCAGAAGTTCACCTCCAGCACCATTCATCTCCACACTGATTTTGGTTTTCCCCTGATGTTTTCATGTTTAGTCAGCTGGTTGTCATGCCTATTTATTCCCACTGTCTTCCTTTCTCATTTCCACTTCCCCAAATTTATGGCCTACCTCCTTACTCCAATGAAACGTGTTCTCAGGACTTGTTTCTTTACAGCAACTTCCCTCGTGCTGCTGCTTCGGGCCCAAGAGAGAGGCACAGATGGCAGGATTAAGGGTTCCTGAAGGGAAGGCAGGACTGTGTGCTTTCTGCAAGGCCAACTTGCTGCTGCTGCTGACTTCACTACTAAAAGTCTCCACTATCAGGTCTGTGTGAATACCTGAAAATTCATCAGAAATAAAGTCTTTATCAGTTGCATGATTTGTCTGAATGTTGGCAGGAGAATATTGTCCACACTTTTCTATTGCCCTTCCTAATTTCCTTTATGTGACCCAACAAATATACTCTTCTTTAATTGTAATGATTATGCTTAATTCTCACTGTTTAATGAAAACCTTTTGTGTTTTTTACCTTCAGAACATTTATAGGACTTTGGTTTATATCATTTGCATATAACTTCCATTAACTTTCTCTGGCAACTTTTGCTATTTTCTTTGTATTATTCTGTCTATAACCTTCACTCATTCCCTTTTGCTGTCAGACATTATCACATCATTTCAGGATGCTTTTCCTGATATTACTATGGTATCACAAGTTTTTCAGTAAGAACATTTGACAATATGCCTTGTGAAATGTATTGACATTATAGTGTTGTTGTCATTTATTCATTTTGATGTTTTGATTTATTTTGATATATATTTTCTTTTATTCATTTTGTTGTTGTGGCAATCACCATTATAGAAAAGCAGACTGATTTTCTTATGTCATTTCCCCAGAGTGAATAGATTTACACTTCAGGAAGGACCTATGAATGAAACTATGAAACATTGGAGGGTTTGATCAACACTGTTGCTTTTTTTTTTTTTTTTTGAAATTCAACCTGAATATGTTTGCCAGACCCTTCCAAATATTTTATATATATATATATAAATTTTTTTTTTTATTTTTTTTTATTTTTTTTTTTGCTTTTTTTGAAGAAGAAGAAGGAATGAGAAATGCTGTATGGGAAACATGATAAGCACAGCCTCCTCAGCTACCACATATGTCAAAATCACAAACCTTTTCTATGACCACCTTTTCTTAAAATGATCTTGAAGCATGGCCTGAAGGTCAACAAAGCCAGTTTTTATCAGCTCTATTTCTCAAACTGAAGTGTTTCATTTGTCTCTGGAGTGCTTCATATAAACAGCACCATAAAGTTAGTGACTTAGTGTTTAAATCTGGGAGTGGATAAGTTAATTACACTAAAAACTCTGAATTACTGTTGTAATCCCTTCAGACCTTTCTTATAGTGGTCACAACATTGTTCTGCACAGAACAGAGCTTAGAAGTTAAAAATAATATTTAATTTTTTTTCACTGTTAATCAATTCCATACAGTTTTATACTGCCATTTTTTAGGATATAATACAACCAAAACCATTAATAATAATAATAATAAATATTAAAAACAGAGGAAGAGAGAATATCTGCTACAAAAAAAGCTCATGTGCTCATGGTCCAGAAAGGGGAAAAAAACAAACAAACAAAAAACCCTTCCATCTTGTAGGAAAGGCTTAGAGGCTTCTCCTTATATCAGAGAAATGACATTTTTGTAAACTATACCTATATATATAGTAGCATTTTTCTATTCCTACTCTGACAAAATAAGCTATCTTTTCAACATTTAATCTAGAAGATGAAAAATAGTAGTGTCATGCAAACAACAATACATTCTGGGTATGTTACAGTTCTTAGCAATATATACTTCTGTAAATATTTAGAGCCCTAATTAGCCTACTAAATTCCTTTTAAATTAGGATACCAACTGACATTAAATATGCCTTTCTCTGAGATCATCAGTTTTGAAGTACCGGCTAAATAACGAGAGCATCTAACACTAGGGATGTGCTCCGATCATAAATGTTCACATCTGAGCCAGGTGATTAGACTTCAGTAGTCAGATAAGAGTCATAGATATCCGTGGAGACCATTCAATTCATCTTCTGGAGCTCTTCAGAGACACTTATGCATCATTATTAAAGATATAAAGGACTTCTGTGATCTGAAAAGCCAAGAACCTAATTTTTTGGCTTGGCAGTGCAATGTCTAGGATTGATACTTAAAATAAGAGGTCTGAATACAGTCCTAAATCCTTAAAATGCACTATCAATGTGCTCTACTATAATGACTAAAAACATTATAGGAACCGTTGTTTTGGAAACCATGCACTGTAAGCATCCTGTTTTTGTTTTGTTTTGTTTTGTTTCTTTAAGTAAGGGTCTACCACAAAGTACAAAGTAATTAATCTCTGTGATCTGTTATCAGGTGTTTTGTTAGCTTAAATTAAGCCATCAGATTTAAAAAAAAAAAAAAAAAAAAGCGCTAACAAAATGTGTTGGCTTACTAAATGCAAGGATGGCCTGAAACAAATACAAATGGGATCAGCAAACAGTGAGGTATGAGGGAAAGAAAGTAAACAATAGAGTTATAAAAGGAGATCAGGAAAAGGAAGGTAACCACAGTGCACATTACATTATTTCTTGCACACAGGCACTAAAGTTGCTGCAGGGATAATATTGATATGAGAGGTGAAGTGGGCTCTGAGACACTTTTATCTTTATAAATTGTCCAAAGGCGGGAAATAAATGTTCATTAAGTTGTATTCATGAAAGTAATAGCTGTTCCTGGGACAGAAGTCATATATTTTGTTATATTTCTTGTTAATTGTCTGTTTATACTTGGGCAAATGCTCACTAAATGGCAGAACGTTATATACTTGCAGCTAAGAAAATAAACAGGAGCATGAGAGGTGAGAAAAAAAGGAAAGCCAAGAGATGCTTTCTGATTTTATGCTGTACAGATGGTGCCATTTCTTGCTGGACATCATCCTCAAGACCTTTCTCAAATTATTTTGTCTTCTGGTTTTCAATGAGCGCATCCTTTCAGGTTGCTGAAAGGCATATATGTATTCCTCAAGGTCTAGCTAGGAGATCTTTACCCAAACCCAAAACATTCTTCAAAGTGGATTTGTTGCTGCATTATCTGGCCTTATGGAAAAGAAGTAAAGGCTGTTTTATATAAAATATAGTATTTAATTATTTGTATATGTAAAATACATATTCCAGCTGTACATGGACAACTGAACCCAGATCTGCTAGATGGGATGAGGTAAATCCCTTGCATTTATTCATGATAGCTACTACTGTATTTTAACAGGTCTTGTTTCCTGGCTGAACAGTAGGAAGTTGCAAACAATG